CATGTTCTCTGAATGTTAAGCGAATGCGCATAACTTCTTTAAAAGTTTCGGTTAACAATGTATATTCTACGGCTTGAAAACGTTACAATTTTCGCTTGTTAGATTCTCGAAAAATCGGACAACCAGCTGAAATAAAAATATGGGCACTAAAAGATGCTTTATCAAGGAAGAGTATTTTCGACTCAGTCTTCATCTACATAACATTTAAGACTTTGTTTTTCGATAGTTCACTTCCACATTTAAGGTGGATTTAAGATACTGTTATAAGCATTTTTTTTCAAATTCTCAGTGAAAAATGTTTTGGATAATTGTTAAATTGAGTAAGTAAACCAAAAGAACTTAAATGTAGGTAAGGTTAAATACATAAATGATCAGGTTAAAGTCTAAAACTTTCTTTTGTGTGTGCATTTCTGTTTTTTAAGCGCTTAAATATAAGCAAAATTTAATTTTAGAGTTTAAGGTTGTTGATATACGCTTAAATTCTTGCACACTCAAATCGTGTTTAATCGATGTTATTAGCACATTCTTTTCACTCACATTTAATGCTTAAACACTGTTTTATTTTTAGCGATGCCGAGTAAATTACAAGCTGCTCAGAACCGTCAGAACCACACAAATTAGCCACCAGGTGCAGAAACACGCTGTGCCTTACAATTCAAAAACCTCAGCTTGAATACTATCTAACTTATTTGCATTCTGCTGAGGAAATAGAAAGAAGTTTTAGTAAAGACTATAATTATAAACAACACGTTAATTTCAAATAATAACCTTATACAGTCATTATCTATTTCCCTAGTCGATCATGAAGAATTTATCTCAAAATGAGAGGAACTGAACAAAGCATCTGCATGAGAATCGTAATTAAGATTCCACAGCTTCACCAAAAAACTCGCTATTACAAAGTTACTCTGACTGAACTTTGCTTTAAAAAATTAGATATGCCAATCTATGTTTTCACATTGCATAATCTTTGAAACATTTAAGAATTTTTTTTGAATTCAAGCTTAAACTGTAATTAGTATTTATTGCATTTGCTTTACATATTTTTTATTTTTTATTACTAAAAGAATAGTGAGCGGAGACAACACTTGACATTCCTCTGGCGTCTCTAAATTTCTAAAATCTGGTATTAGCATATACATTAATTCTTATATAAGCCGGAAATACGTGAGCAATACCCTCCTACTGCTTTTTAGTCAACGGTTAATATGACCACCAGGAAAACCTATGCACACTGCGCAAAAAAAAAAGGGGGGGAAACAATTTTGTATCTTTCTTTCTACTAGGCCGATTGACGAAATTCAAACTGCCTTTTTCATGTCTCGAAAGCGCGACATAGGATATATATTAGACTTATATATAGCATTTTTCCAACATAGGTACTTTGACACAAAATCTAACATAATAGTAGCACAAATTTCCTACTATTATTATAGAACGAATTAAGTTCATCAACTGCTACTATTGTTATGAAATAGAGAGAGTATTAGATGTATTACAAATTATTTGATTAAGATATTTAATGAATACCTTCCGCTAAATATATCATAAATAAAAAAAGACCTAATAGAGGTATTTAACATTTGAGGGATATATAATTGCAGTTTGAAGGATAACTTAAACATTGTACCACATAAATGGGAACAGGTTGAAGCCCGCGAGTCGTTTTTTGGTTGAAGTTAGTCCACCATGAATGCTGATTGTTTCCACTTTATTTTCTCTAATTTTCAAAATTTAATCATTAAAAAATTTTTTGTTCTTTTGCTATAAACTTCAATCCTTACAATAAAAACTAAAGGAATTTTGAATGATTTACATGAGAGACAAGAACCTCATGTAAATCAATTAACAAAAAAAAAAAAAAAAAAAATCTGAAACGTTTCAGATTTTATATTACGTCTAAAGAAGCGTTTTTTTAACATTTTGCCTGTTACCTTTATTTATTAAATATCACGTTATTCATACTTAAACTATAAAATTCAGTTCAACAGCAATATTGCAAAATAGTTTTAAATTGAGCATATCTCTAGAATTTCGGATACAGAGTCTCGCGCGCTGGAGATAAAAATGTTTTTCTGTACAACGTTGCCATTGCTCGCTTTGAAATCCTTCAATTTGTTAATCAAAAATTCGTTAAAATTTTACAAAATATGAAATTGATAATAAAAAATAGTAGGATTAACATTTGGTAGCAGCAGTTTGAAAAGTGAAAAGGGTATTTATAGTGAACCAACGCCAAATCGCAAAACGAAAACAATTGTCCTTCAGGGACAAACCCCCTTTGGAATAAGGAAGTTTGCTTTTGAATCGAATTACACTTTCCGAATTTTCGAGAAGCCATATCCGACTAATGGCGAAAAATGTAATACGCAACTTTTTTTCAGACGTCTTCTTTGCAAAACCAGCTTGAAAGATGGATTCCAATGCTCAAAATTTGACACAGACCTATACTGAAGCTCACTGCGAATAGCTAGCCTATCAAAAATATTGTTAATGTGACCTCAAGTCTTCTTCTTTCAAAGCGAGAAAGAAATAAAGAACTGGTGCACGAATCGAGCTGCCGAATGATGACGATAACCTTCGTTAACAACGAATGATGACAATTCTCCAAAATGTTTCTTTCAAAGCAGAGATTAAAGCTGGCCCTTTCTTCCAGCCTATTAATAAGCCTGACGCTAAAGGAAAATAGCATCGTTATCAAGGGTACCTAATATGTTGACTGAACGTTGCAAAAGCGCCCGTGTGTCCATTACATTAAACTTAAAAATTCTTTCTTCTAAAACAAAAGCTAAACTGATATGGAGCACAATTCTATGCGGATATGCGAAATGTAAAAAAGAGCTGACGATATCTACACCGAGAGGTTATGAAATTACACAGTTCCTTTCAAACAGCATTCCTTTCAAACGTTTGCTTTTTGATATGCTTAATTATTTGCCTTAAAAGGTACGGGAATAAAACTTGTTGCTGAACGATTATTCTGTACCAAGATGCTTAGTACATGGCGATCAAAATGTCTTTCATTAATTGCAAAGCTCTCGACGGCTTGCTTTGCCTTCATCAAATTAATTAAACAAAATCCACTGAAATTTTTATGGACGTTTGTATCTTCGCAGTCGTTAACAAAAATTAATATTAATTACCAAAAATAATTGTTGTTAACAATTAATAAATGCTAAAGCTATAGGTTGCGTACCTCACCCAGAATCATTTTTAGTCCCAAACTCACGTCTTATCCAGTTCAAATTGTTTCCACCGGGTGCTATCACCCTATATTGTTTTAAAAAAACAAATAATGAAGAATCTGTATGTAAACTGCGCAAGATAAAAAATGAGACAATTCTATATCTAACGTTCTACTGGGCCGATTGATGAAATTCAAATTGCGTTTTTCATGTCCCGAAAGCTCGACTTACGATATATATCGTATTTATGTACAGCATTGTTCTAATATATGTATTTTGACACAAAATCGGACTTTCTCTGAAATTACATGCCAATTTTTTTCCATATTTCGATTCTATGACTATGACTATACTTTCCATATTTCGATTCTAATACCATATTTCGGTTCTACTACAAAATTTAATATTATGCCTAAATATGAAATTATATAAAATTTGGTGCGAAATTTAGACAGAAATTCAACATTTTATCTTGGCTTCTTTTTTCTAGTTTGCGCCAAGAATAATTCACTGGGCGAACTTCTTAATTTGTAGCAACTTATTTTTATTTTCTTTTTTTCCTTGTAAAGGAGCGAGATAAAGTAATATTTCATTCATTTTAAATAATTTTAACAAAATTCAGAAACCATATTTGGCGTTATTATCGTTTATAACAAATATGCTAAATGTCAATATCTAAATGCGCCAATATGTAAATTCATGTATATTTTAGGAAATTTTGAATAAAAAACTCTAATGTCTTGCAGGTATGCTAGAAATACATCTACTTCCAGATGATGGTAAACATTTGATAGGTTCTAATTCAAATATTTTTTCGAAAAATTTATAAAAATTATTCAGAAATACAAATTTTAAAAATAAATCATAAATATGGGCGAGTTTTATTTGGAATGAACTTAGATTTCGAATACTGGAGGAAAGAATAAAGTAAATTTAACAAAAAAGGAAATATTAATAAATATGTATCAAATTCAATTAACATTGAGGAGCTAAAATTTTGAGAGCTTATTTCTTAAAATCTACTCGTGCGATTTTCACAAAACTTGGCAGTTTGGCAAAATTTGAGTCTTAGAATCGAAATATGGAAAAAGAATTTGGCATGTCATTTCAGAAAAGTCTGATTTTGTGTTGAAATACCTATATTTGTACGATGCTATATATAAATCTAATACATATCCTAAGTTGCGCTATCGAGAAATTAAAAACGCAAGTCTAAGGTCGTCTATCGGCCGAGTAGAACGGGAGATACATATCTGTTCTTCCTTTTTTTTTCTTTTTTCTTTTTTTTTTTTTTTTTTTTTTTTTTTTAATAGTGCAGTGTTTGTTTTTTGCAATGTGAAAAAAACGACAGCACCTACAGCCACGAAATATTTAGTATTTTCGAAGCCCTTAACCCAAACTCTCAAATCAGAACTTTTTAATTTCGAAATTTCATTAATAATTAATTAATTAATTTCATATTTTGTACGACGTATTTTGTACAGACACTATACATTTACAAGCATCCATCCCTGCTCCCTGCTCCACGATTCAGACCCGGTCACTTCGGCAGTCAGCGTCGCTAACTACTGTCCCATTTGGGTGCCTCAATATTGCTTATCTCTTAAATGACATTATTAAATTATGGATTTATGTATTCTGAAAAATATTTCTTGATTTAATCATAATGTACATACATAAATTTCTGAAATGTTCTATTTTGGAGACTTTCAAGTTAATATTCTAATTGTATTTACTCTATTCAAATTGGAAGACAAAAGTTATATGTGATATTACTATTGTTTTAATTCAGTCACAAATACAGATTTATATAAGTCTGTTTAATGATTCACACATTTTTATTTATAGGTTAGTAATGTCCGTAAAGGGTATCAAACAGTTTAGACCATTTAAAATGCTTGCAACAAATTGAAGATTTATACATTGTAGTTGCAAGTATAAAATTTGAAACATCTTCCAAATTTTTCTACTAAGCTCCAGAAAAAGAATCCACCTACATTTTGATGGGAGCAATCGAAAATATTTCAACACTTTTATGATATACAGAACTGGCATAAATGTAAATACAACTGCAGATAAATTTTTGATTTTATTTGAAGAAAATGCTGTGTGAGCGGAAGGAGAAATGCTTCACATATAATAATCCGAAGAGTTGAGTGATCACATAGATTTTCCAATGTCAAATATATTTTGTCAAGCATATCTTGAAGATAAACTATCCAAAGATCTCTGATTCCAGCGGTTTATTCTAAAAATAGAAATAAAGCAGCCAAATCTCTTCTTAAACTCCGTCTTGAATCTTTCCTGGAAAAGATAGAATAGCATATATTATTTGAAATTTTTCCTGTGAGATTAAAATTTAAATATTGATTTTTTATTATATGCTTAATTTTTTATTTTATACCAAATCAGATTTATTATTAATTATGAAATACCCAATTAGATTAAACCTAATTAAGTATTTGATAATATCTCTTTAACCTTCCTTATTTCGACAAATTTCAATAAAAATTCTTTATTCAATAAAAATTAAATTTCAATCAAGAACGCGTATAATATGTGAAACTTAATTGGGAACTTTAATGTAAGTTGCATCATGTAGTACAATAAAATTTACAAATATCAGCCACCGCAATATACAGAGTTTTCATAGCTCAAATATTTAAAAATTAATAACATGCAAATTAACCTGTAGCTGCTAAGAACCGGACTCCAGTAAACGCCGATTTCTTCTCTACACGGTAACAAATACGTATAAAATGCAACTGAGTAAATGTGAAGGTCAGCTATAGGTGGACGTCTAAGAGAAAATAGCTATATTGGCAAGCTGCCAGAGTTATGTTTCTAATCTAAAATTTCGTTCATTATTTAAACCTAACTTAATTTGCGTTCTACTGAAGGTTTACGGAAGAAATAGAAAAAGACAAGAATAACTGAAAAAAGGAAAAAAAAAAAAAAAAAACCGGAATATTTCAGATTTTAACAGCCACCCAAAAGGGTTTGTTAACGTTTTTTACGCTGTCGCTGAGGTCGCTGTCTACCTGTCTGCTGTTACACTCACTCCCGCTAATTTTCTTTCTTCTTTTTTTTTTTTTTTTTTTTCTTTTAGCTTTATATTATGCATCGTTTTCTTCGCACTTAACGCTATATATAATACTTTCGAAAACAGCATATCAGTATATGTTTAGAATTCCCAATACAGCATTAAGTGCTGTCGTATATTTTTTCTGTTTTTTTTTTTTTTTTTTCAGTCTTTTCTCAGTTCGTCCTATCAACTGACATCCCTTTGCTTACTAACATGGCTTTACAAAACTTTTTTTCTCTTTTGTCTTTTTATTACTAACTTTTTATGCCTAAACTTTATTTATTAAATATCATGTTCTTCGCTCTCATGCCACATAACTTCAATTCACAAGCTATTTAAAAACAGCTTTAGAATTTCCGGCAGACAGACTCGCGCGCAGGAGATCAAAATGTGTTTTTAACAAAATCGTTGATTTTGTTAATCAAAAAGTCTTTAAATATTTACGGATATGAAATAGTTAATAAAGCAAATTCAAAATTCGACCTTCCAAATGCCAATGTTCGGATGGAGGACTACTTTATTTAAAACTGGAGGATTCTAGGGACCGTTATTTTTCACAATGCGAAAGACATGCATACATTCATGTAGAATCTCCATTATTTAATTTCTTTAAATATAATTCAGGCGATAATATTTGGTGGCAGCAATTTGAAAAGGGATTCGCCGTTTATAGTGATTCAACGCAAAGTGCCGTTTCGAGACTAATAAAACATTCGGGGCTAACGACTAACTTCTCTTTTGAGCTAAAAAAATTATTGTTAGTTAAAATAAATGTTTCTTGTACATCACCGCCATTATTAGTATATCAGTATTATACACAGAGCTTAGGAAAAGGAAAATATTTCAGAATATATTAGAAATGTAAAATTTCTATAACTTAACAATGCATACCAATTTAAGCTTGACAGCAAATATTTGCTAGAGGTGAATTTGAAATATAAAATCAGTTTACAAATACTAAGTATATTTTTTTAACCGCTATAATAATAGTTCACGTAAAAGTCTTGTAAGTTGAACTTTCTAAAACTTCACTTTTGGCGCTAAATGAGTAACAAATACTAGTCCACCTTTATCTACAGCGACATCATTTTAGATGGCTTCCACGCATAAATGAATCATCATCTCAAGTAAGTTCCAAACGAATTAAATGATACCGCATTTAACAGAGAGAAATGCAAATCTTCTTGTTTAATAGCACTTAGCGGCATATCATTTAACTCAAATCTTTTTTAAAGACACTTAAGACATTCTTTCCAAAGTGATATAATATTTATTACCAGGAGATATAATATTAATTTTTATGATAATTATGAAATACTAAACTCTCGGAATTTTCACAAACTCCATTTTTAGAAAGAATGGGACATGGAATATTAAATTTTTGAAGATGGCAAAGAATTCTAAGGATTTCTACTTAAGTGAAGGGATATCTTCGTGGGGGAATTTCTAAGAGAAACTGGCTGGTATATACATTACACATGGGGAACCGGAATTCAGAATCCGAACCAAACTACCAGGGTTCAGCTACTTTACCACTCGGGCACTGCTGGGTTATCTAGCCCAGGGAAGAAATACTTTCGTGGAGAATTTTATGTTTGTTTCCGTTTAGTTGATTACTGCAAAGCACACAAGGGCTGTCTGCCTAAGGAGAGGAATGCCTTACGAATGAGGAATGAAAACCACGAAAACGCCCATGCAGCCAGTCCGTTCGCTGGGTTTCAAACCCCAGACCGAACTGCCAGTATTCGGTGACTTTACCGCTCGGCCGCTGATGGGACTTTTTTCTCTTTGGATGTGGATTTATAAAGTATATGCAGATTTAATTTACAAACAAGAGTGATGGATAAAAATATATAAGCATAGCATTGCATCATAATATGTTGAAACATTATAAGAAACAAACATTTTTGTTACGTACCATTAAAACAATGATCACATTAAGTAACAAATGTGTTTTTAAACTCTTCTCTTCCCAAAACATTAGTTCAACAGCTAGTTTACTTTAAATTGTTGCTTTTAATGTAGACGTTAAGATTCAAAATAAAACTCAAATTCTGTAGTTAATACGCAAATAGAGCAATAACTACTGTTTTGATAAACGCTAGCGGAAAATCCTGAGAGAAGTGTATGGTTCTCCAAGAATGTTTTACAAAATAAGTTTAAAATTTTCATCTGATGATTTATTCGGAGAATGAAATGTTTATGTGTTTTAATGCGTTTTTTATTTCTGTTTATTGCTGTTTCGAATTACTATAACATATGCATGTTATTTGAGAATTTCGAATTTTTAATTTACGAATTCCTAGAGAAACATAAAATTTTAATGGAATGACTTAAGCTTATCGATTTATAATATTATTAACAAATCTGAAATGTATTTTTAAATAGCCGATTCATTTCCTTAAAATAAAATTTTTCATTCAAAAATTTTAATTCAGTCTTTTCTATAACAGACAATTTCTGTAAGCTTTGGATCGGAAAGCGGTATACTTAAGAAAAAAAGTAAGTTTTCACTTTAAATCATTTCCCATTTTAAAAACTCTGTGCTTATTTGACTCCAATTCCTATCGAGAATTTTCTCGATATTTATAAAAATCATTGTCTATCCATTTACAAGCTTGGACAAAATGCTCTCATTCGTGGATTGCAATTCGAAATCAGTTCTCTGATTTTATTCCGTTCTAGTCTTAGATTTAAACTAAAGAATATTTAATGTATTTTTATACCAATAATTTTGCTATTTGAATGGATAAATTCAAATTTTTCTCCTAGTAAGCAGCTACATTATTAGTTTCCTGTTAAAGCCTATAAAAGTCTTTGAGTTTTGGGAAAAACAGTTCATATTGGGCTATGTACCGCCAAGACGGTACAGTGGTTAGAGAAGCTTAACTGTGATACCAAAGGGCTCGGATTCAAACCGCAGAGAAGGTATGGATGTAAAACTGACTATCCCTTCATGGAATGGTAACGGTGACCACCTATTAGTTGCCTCCACAATTGAAACGGCCACTACTTCTGTCCTTAGTAGTGGCCAATGCCGTTATAGGCAAGTGCCTGGCATTGGAAAATATATGGTTTTTTGGAATTTTGGTGGTGTTAGTTGCCATTTCGCATTCTTCAATATCAGATTTCCTTTCTTTTTCATTTGTTTGTTTGCTTCTGAGTTCCTTTGACTGTATGTTTAAATATCATGCTAAATCTCAGTTTCTTTATTTTCCTGTTTCTAGTTTCTTATAACAATCTCATTTACCTAACAATACGTTTTTCAATCTTGACTGATAAACTCATTTTTTAAATCAATACATAATGTTTTGATAAAAACAGATTCGTCTGGTGCTATCGGCCAGAAAAGGCAAAGTGATTATTTAAAAATGTTCTCAATTAATTAATTATTATATTTTCAAAACCCGTATCTAATTTCCTAAAGGATAATTACCTGAAGCGTACAAAGAAATTCGAAATAACATCAGTAATCATTTATTGAAAAAATACTTTAATGTAAAAATATTCAGGTAAATAACATATTCAGTTTCATTATAAAATTGTATTATTTGACATTTGGCATACTCATAAAATTAAGCAAATCTATATTATTAAATTCAAATGTAAAAATTTTTATTCTCAAACAATATCTTTATAATTTTCATAGATTGTTTTCAAACCATTTTGGATAGCAAACAAAAACAGAAATTTTTAAATCGTAACAAATATAAAAAGCTTTATTTGTCTATGAAATATTTACACTTTAATATTAAATGGCGTAAGAATAAATCATTTTTAAAGTAATTATTATTATACATCATTAAAACTTCATCAAATTTCTTCTTTGAAATAAATTTATTGCCTCACAGGATACTTCTTTTTTATGTAAATACAATATCTTAAAATGCACATTCTTATAAAAGGATTCAACAGGAAGAAACACAAAATTAGAATGTGGAATATTTGATTATAGAGGACATAAATCTTTACCAGAAGACTAATGTAAACTGTTAATTGGCTGTACAATTTTATTTTAAATGCTAAGTATCTTCAAACATTATGTCGAAAGCTTTATTTGTATTTCTGAAAATTGTTTAACTTAAAATAATTGTCTGAAAAGAAAGATAACTTACTATGATTTACATACATACTGTAATATATTCTATTCGTCATTTAACCAATGAGCCTCTCTCTGTAGGTGCTCATGTTTAATAAACTATATCCTATATAAGTTACAGGTTGAAGTTAATAAACGTTATTAAAAGAGGATCATGTTTTGGATCAATGAAGGATAAAATTTTGAATAGAAATGGAGAACTAGAAACCATAATACTGCAATGAACAAAAATAAATAAATAAATAAATCCAGACATAGAAGAGAAAATGTAAGTAAAAACAGAAAACATCGTTGGTCAAACTAAGTTACGTTATAAGGCAAAGCGACTCAAAGGCTATCTACCTATGGGAAGGACGGCTTCGTGGAGAGTTTGTTAAGGTTACTGTCTCATATCTGCGTTACACGTGGGAACAACGACGAATATCCAGCGCAAAAAGCCTGTTTGCTGAGATTCAAACACATCTCGAACTGCAAGGGTTCAGCGACTTTACCGCTAGGTTAATGCTGGTTTTGACTAACTTTTAAAATGTATCCTTACAATTGATACGAAAATGAGCAGTTCATATCATCTTGAGGTGAAAAAATAGGCACGAGATTAAAGTAATAAAGTGAATCCATGGCAATTATTCCAGTTTTCTCTCTATATATATATCGTGTTCACAAAAGGCTATTCGCACATATTTTAGACGATTCAGCTTTAATGTGAAAAAAATGTACTTGGAATTTTTTTAACTACAACTATAATTTTGAAAATATAAATTATCGTCTGCTGCTTCACAGTTTTGTTTTTATGCAAAATATCGCCTTTAAAGAAGCAGTGGATCTACCCTGATATTTTCCTTAAATGCCAGTCAGGGATATTCTTTTATGGTTTACTAGTGAATTTTTTTAATTTATAATTTGGTTACATTTAATACAATAAAAGAAATTTCACAGAAATAATTTGTAAGTTTTGAAACGTTAAAAATACGTTATTAATAGTAGCATGCAGTTTTAAAATCTCAGCATCCTAATCTAAAAATCATACAAAATTCATTCAACTAGAAATATTTTTAATTTTCAGTTCTACGATTATAGTTTGGAAATGTGGCAATAGTACTGAAAATACTAAATAGTGTACTGAAACTAGTTTCCCCTAGAAAGTCATCCAGAAAGGCATCCCTCCCATGAGGCAAATAGCCCTCGAGGCTTTGCCGTAACCGCATAAAACCAAACCTAAACTGGTATTTTATTTTAGTTCAATTCTAATGCAAACACGTCGCTCTTAACTTTCTGTGCAGCTCTTGAATATGATATTTGAATTTAAAACTAAATGCCTCGATCAATTTTTGTCGCACGAGAGTCATTCGTTTTATATAGTGCGTTTTATAATGAGAATAACATTTCCCTAAATATGAATATATTGATCAGGGGAACGTTTATATAGTCACATTTCGTAATTTTCATAAAATTTATTTTTCTTTACTTAAAAATATCATAACATGAATATCTGTATCATTTAAAACATTTTTCTAACTGGAAGTACATGTCTACGACCAATTGTTTCGAAAATCAATGCGGAGTAAATGCTTTTACGGACGCTGTGTATACACGTAATAATTTTAAAGAGAAGACTAAGTGATTTGCAATCACATTTGTAGGAGCAATTGATTTATTTTTTCTTGATAAAACAATGTAAGCAAACTTTTTGATGAAGACACAGATGATATGACTCTAAGCGCGACCATTCTTTAATGAAATCTTGCATTTTAAACATCTAAAAAAAGAAAATATAGCACCGTTCTTTGTTTTGCCAGCAGAGCAAATACTAAAAATCATGCATTATTCATCATTGATGTTAAAGATGAGAATTCAGAGATTCACGCTCAAGCAACATCCTTGAGAACATCTTCTCGTACGGTATTCTCTGCTTTCCATTATTATAGGTGATTATGCTGTTTCTGTTGTGCAAATGGTTTTGCATAATAATAAAAATGTTTCTTGGTATATTTATCTATCTAACAGCTTGAAATTCGGCGGGCCACTAGAGAGAATCAAATGCCGTTTTTTCGTTTAAACAAAGCAGAGCAGAAGGATAGTTCTTTGGTTTATTGTATTGTAATATCCTCAAGAATTCACCTACAACATGGATTGTATAACGATTTCGCATAAATCCATACTAATTCTTATTAAGTACTTAAAATTCATGAAAGCAGTGGCTTATTCTTCCTGTGATGGCTCGTTAAAAAACTTACTTAAACTGTTGACAGCAGGCTGATGGTCTATATGAACATGATTTGCTGGGTCTTGCTCTTTTATGAAGAAAAGGTTGACATGTCCTGTCTTAAAGACCTTAGAGTCGTCAGGGGGCAACCCCAGGCATTCTCGCTAAGACCTGTATTTAGACAGACTTGGCTTCTGGGGTACATAATCAATCTTCACAATGACTGCGATCATTGATTTTTAGGTGGTAGGTTGGATATCGGCAGGGATCTTATTAGTATTGTCTTATGTGACCCTTATGTGCCTTATACCCTCTTATGTGCCTTAATGTTATAGGGATGTTACATGGTTTGATATCGAAGATTATCCTCGGTGATTTTGCTTCCCTTGGTCAACACTGGGCAACAATCTTTGACCTGACTTTTTTCTATTTGTAAGTTACAACCATTGCTGGTCACCACTGACGTGTACTTTGAAATTTGAATGTGTGCAATTCTGTCCCCCTGGGTTGACAAAATAGCGCAATTAACCGTGTAAGAGCTTGAAAACGGCCCTGGTCTGTGAGCCACCTTCTCCGGTATATTATATTGTACTCTCTTGAAGACTTCTGGGAAGATTTCTAATTGAAGTATGGCAAGAATAAAGATTCTGGGTTTAAATTTACTTATCTTTGTTTTTTTTTCAAACACCCCATATACTAAGAAATAAACCGAAGAATCGAATAGCAGAATAGGAACGTTACCGAGTTCCTTGTAGCGTTTTATATGATCTTCAGTGAGTTTTGTACAAAAGGACTTTTTTTAATTAATGCTTAAAAACATGTAATTAATGCTTAAAAATATGTAAATTCATTGTTCAAGCAAACCTTTTTTACAATAGCCAGTGAAATTAAACAGAAACTATTCCACGAAACTCAAATGAAGCTTCATTTCATATGTGATGCTAAATATCTTGGGCTCTCCAGTAATAAAGATTGTTCAGTTGTAATTGCTCATCGCTATGAGATAACTTAATAAGTACTTCACTATAAGATTAAGTTACACAAATTGTGATTATCGATAAATGTAAGATATAAATTAAATTTATCGCTGTTAAAAAGATACATGTTAATCATGATACGTTTATGAAATGTTACACAAAGGACAAATAAACATAACTTACATTATAGATGGCATAAATGAATGGATTACAACAAGAGTTGCTCATCGCTAGCCAGTGACAGCAAAACCAAATAATATTTATGTACTTGTAACTGAAAATATCGATATAAAAGAGTAAATTATTTGCAAATAACTTGTACAAATATACTTATAACAATTGTAATACTTACAAAACTTATAACATAGAAAAGCTAAATATTTGAGTATTCTGTTCTTGATTACAACATATCGAATAATAAACAAAGTACGAATAGAGATTAAAAATCAAAACTTTATTACATCCTTATATTGTAATTAAACATAAAGTAATAATAAGACAACTACGCTCACGTTATTTACAAACATTCTATACCAATTATGGTTTTTTAGTGTCCTCTAGCTTTGGATCATTGCTTATGATTTTAATCAATAACATAAGGTAACCGAAATAGATTGACTGCAATTATAATACACAGGGTGTTTCAGCCAATCGGTTGCAAACTTTCAGGAAAGATAGAGTACACTTAGACGATGGAAAAACACATGGCAATGCATAATCGGAAACGATTCTCTGGTGCGGTAGTGATGACATAACACAAGAAAGAAAGGATAGGAACAGGGTGAGAATCATGTTTAGTACGCTTAGTGCAGCGGAAACCAAGAAATGAGAACAAAAACCGACGATTATCATCAAAGAAGGTGTTCGAAATTACTACCAATGGACCGTAAAGCAGGGACCTTGTTTCATGCATCTCACATGCATGATACAGATCTGCCATGAGCCGGAGATGAGAGGCCTGAATCCCTGTCCGGGATCGTACTATCGAACACTTTTTTTCATGACGGTCGTTGTCTGTTTTGTTCTTATTTCTTGATTTCTGCTGTACTAAACATAACAAAATATATTTTGTCACAATGTTCGTGTCCTTCCTTTTTTGTGTTTTGTCGTCATTACTACGCCACGAAAGCGTTTTCGACTGTTGCATCAGGTTCTTTTATTTACAATAAAATTAATGTAAAATTTCTTACCTGCTGCATCTTCAGTGTTCGCGACGCCAGGCTTCTAATAATCACGTTTTCCAGTAAGAGTTTCTATTAGAAGTAACTGGACATCTTGTCTTTTACTTATTTATTCAAATAAAACACTAATATACACTATTTATAAGGTAGGTGATAATTATTTTAAGACAGTACATTTTAATTGTTTTTCTGAGTCTCACGTTTCGTCTTTACGCTCCTCAGGAGCGGTTCCAATCTAGCCTCGTTCTCAGAACTCAATTAGAGAAAAAGGAAAGGAAGAGATCCCCGCCATCTAGTGGCAAGAATGGGACATCGACCACGCACTGCTATGTGATTTTCCTCCTGAAAGTTTGTATCCGATTTGCTGAAACACCCTGCATATTTATTATTTTTATTATGTTTGACTAATTAAGGACATGTGTGGCATTTTCGAGCGTATTAAAATTTATAATTTGATAAATATTGTTGAGGGTTCATGGCTATCTATTTAAATAATCTTTCTGGATGAAGAGGAAGAAATTGCCACTTTAGGTTATACAATAATGACATATAGAAAAATAAATAGCTACATACAGATCAAGGAGAACCCAGATATTAAGCAATTTCTTTTTAGGGCACGACAAATATCTTAAATTCCCAAAACTACTCATGCAATAAAATTTAAACTGTAATTTAACTAACTTCCTTTTAACCATTGACTTGTGGTGATGTTTCGCTAATGCCCGGGCAGACATTACTGACTTGCATTGGAAACAAGGGTCTCAAAAGTGGTAACTTTTAGCGATGTTTCGCCCTACTGGCGTTTTTTTGTAAGATTCAGGAAAACACCATTTTCGAAGTCCCAAAAGAGATTTCGCTACCTCCAAATATTTTCTTTCGTTTATATTAAAAGTATGACTATATGTTTCTGATTATTTTCAAAACGTTCAATTTCCTAACGATTCGAGTTCGGCTAATACCATTTAAATGGTGCCTATGAGATTGGCTCTTTTTCGTATCACACTCAAAATGGAATTCGACATCATTCAAATAGATGTGCACTGCGCAAAAATTCAACTTGCGGTTTTCATGTCTCGAAAGAGCGACTTAGGATATGTATTAGATTTATATATAGCTTTGTTCTAATATACGTATTTTAACACAAAATCGGACTGCTTCTGAAGGGACACCATTTTTTTTTTATTTTTTATTTTTTATTTCAATTTTACCACTCAAATTACGCTTAACTGCCCAGTTTTGGAAAAATCGCACGAGTAGTTTTTAAGAAATTAGCTCTCAAAATTTTAGCTCCTCAGTGTTAATTGAGTTTGGTATATATTTATTAATCTCTCTTTTTTATTAAACTTATTTGATTCTTCCTTTCACATTTCGAAATTAAAGTTCATTCCAAATAAAATTCGCCCATATTTTATGATTTATTTCTAAAATTTGTATTTTAAAATATTTTTTATAAATTTTTCGAAAAACGTTTTGTATTATAATCCGTAAAATTTTTACTATCATTTTAAAGTAGATGTATTTATACGTATACCCGTAAAAAATTAAAATTTTTTATTCAAAATTTCCGAAGATATACTCGTATTGGCATATTTTTTGAACTCGATAATAACATAGAATGTGGTTTAGGGAATTTGTTAAAATTATTTGAAAGGAGAACGGGGTTACTTTTTTCCCCACCCATGCACCATTTAAAAAGGTAGGAACGAAGTGACTTTTTCCCGGTCATTAAAAGAAGGGAAAGGAAAATGGGTTGACATATAATTAAGAAAGTGATTTATTTTGGGTGCAAACTAAAGAAAAAGATGCTAAGATAAATTTGTGAATTTCTCCATAAATTTCGCACCAAATTTTACAAAATTTAATATTTAGGCATAATTTGAATCGTAATATCGAAATATGGAAAAAAATTGGTATGTTATTACAGAAAAAGTTCGATTTTGTGACAAAATACCTACCTGATACTTTTTCCGTTTTGCCGGTGCAAGCGATAAAGTCGCTAATAATGGTACAGCTGATGCCAAACGGTATATCCTCGCTGGTAACATTTTACACCTCTTTTTCAAAACAAGCTGCAGCCATTTCTTATCAGATTGATTGTTTCTTTCAATACTGGCATACAATTACATAGAAATTTTGCCATTCGCGGTCAATTACGATGCAATCACAGAGCTCACCCGAAAGCGAAAATATAGAAAAGGCAAAATCAAGGGTCAGTTCTAATGAGAATGGACTAGCGAAGTAAAATACTGAGGTTTTACATAACTTCTGACTTAGTAAACTATTCGTACGAATTGAAATAACTCTTGCATTTAAACTTATATTCCAAATTAAGATTTAACTTGAAATTAATGTAGATAATTACTGAGAGAATTAATTTTTTGTAGCGTAGTTTACGTGGGATGAGATCATTTGGGGTCACGTGATATGAACCAACGAATCAGGATGTTGAACCATGAAAGCATAGTAAAATCTTAAATTAATGCTTTTTTATTAATGTATTGGCTTTTAACAAAATTTTAAACGGTATTAAAATGTTTATGCCTACAAAATAAAAAATTCTTAGAACTAACATTTGTTAACATTTTTTTATGTGTATACTGTATGTTGTCGCCAATAAGGTCTGCTTGGGGAGATTTGCGCCGGCGAAACGGAAAAGTACCAAATACCTATGTTAGAGCAATATATAAATCTAATATATATCCTAAGTCGCGCTTTCGAGACATGAAAAACGCAATTTGAATTTCGTTCAATCAGCGCAGTAGAACGGGAGATATAGAATTGTCTTTTTTTTTTCTCCGGCGCAGTGTACCTGGTGCAATTCTTTCGCTGAGAAACTGAACTTGCACTGCACTTATTATATATATGTTTAACAACTTGCCCACGGTACGTCATGCTTCGTATGTGTGCGTATCATATCATATCCGGGCTAGAAGCTCTTCTGATTTGTCTCTTCAGGCTACTGATTTAGCTGTGATGATAATTTACAACTTCAATTCTCGCGCGCTATATTGTTTTTAGTAGCTTGTCTAGTATCTGGCGTTTCCACATAAAACATCTTCGCCTAAAAGAAGGATATATTTATGAACATTGCGTTTTTTATCCCATATTTTTATATCCATAACATTACGTTTAATTTTGATTTGATTTTCTTCTTCTTCAACAGGTGGCATCAGTTTTAGCTAGTGACATGTGACACTTAATCAAGTTTAAACACAAACTATTATAAATTTAAAACGTATACAGAAACATACTTGTTAATTTGTGGAATGACTTCTTGCAGAACATTGTATAACTGTAGAGGCAACCAACATATAGCAAAAAGCATTACGACAAGAAACAGCATGTGAATTACCTGAAAGATATAAATAAAAATAAAAAATTATTATATAGCTGATAAGAAATGTACAGAAAATTGAAACGTTTATAAAGTTTTAATCACAAATTATTGAAAAAAATTCGTTAACAATGTTAAAGCTAATGCAATGCGTTACTTATTTTGTAAAAGTTAGTAACATAGAAAACATAAATTATGCTTTCCAATGTTACTTATAATTTCCTATCACAAAATAACAGGAGATAACAATTCGGAATTAGGCAAAAAAGGTAATTTAGATTGTAGTAAATTTTGAATAAAAATCTATCAATTTCTATAGAGATCAGACTTTTTTTTTCATATGATTGATTGCTTTGAAATCGATAAAGTTTTATTTAATACCAACAGGATCCACCAGCATACGAGTGAATAAAATAACCGCTGTTAGTGTGATGGATAAAATGACTGGTGGATTAAATGACCACAGCGAACGGAATGAAATGGGGTTGAACTGGGTTCAGCCCGTTTCCGTTTGGACTAGCGTACAGGTATTTTATTTCCATGGACATTTTTCGTGGTTTCCCCATGTGTAACGTGTATACGAGCCAGTTTCTCTTGCAAAATCCTCCATAGAGGCATTCCATCCCTTAGGCAGATAACCGATCTGCCATAATCACATAATAATATTTATTAGATATACCAGTGATTAACTACCATGTTTCCAGGAATTTGTCATAAACGATATAGTAAAACCAAAACTAAACCATACTATTAAAATCTATGCACGTCTGTCTCTTTGTTTGTTTGTGGCATTATCTCCTCCAGAACGGCGGAGAGTTCAGTTTCGAAAGAGGTACCTTCGGATTCCAAAAATTCGTGGGAAGCCATTTCGACCATTCTTATCTTCTTACGACTTTAACTAGCTGAGATATTAATAAAAAACTCTGAAAACGCTAATTTTAGCCCTCAATTTTCCAAGTAGTAACAGTATCGCATGCTGGAAATAAAAATCTGATTCATTTCGAAAAATGTCGCCACTGCTCGCTTTCAGATCGTATAGTTTGTTAATAAAAATTTGTACGTTTTACCAAATATGAAATAAAAGTAGCATTGCCAAACATTTAATGTATTACTTCGGATTCTGAAAATTCGTAGGAAGCCATTTCGACTATTTTCCCTTCTTACGACTTGAACATAATGTGCCGAAATATTAATTAAAAACTCTGAAAAACAGTAATTTTTGCACTCATTTTTCCGAGTGACAACAGTTTTGAGCGCTAGAGATAAATATGTTTTATTTGCGAGTGTTGGCACTGCTTGCTTTCAAATCCTAGAGTTTGTTAATAAACAATATGAAATTAAAATAACATCGCCAAACATGAAATATGTTATCATTATATTGGTTATTGGTCATCAGGATACAATAGGTATTTAGCATTTAAAATATGTTTTTACCTATATTTGAAGTTTTTTCCAGAGCATAATGTCATATTCTGACGTTGAAGGAAGCACGCGATTGCATGTGACGTCATTGCATGTCGAAACCTTTTCGTTGATGACGGCAATTTAAATAAGCAGCTGCTGTTGGTACTTTTTTTGTCTCAGGTTAGGGTAATTGACACGGTATATTATTGCCACGTTAAAACTTTTACTGGTATTCAGAAAAAGTTATTAGTACATGTAAATTTTGCTTTGGCCGCAGCTCGCTAGTTAAGTAATAAAATCTCTGAAACTGTTTTCTTCATTTATAACAAATCTTTTTGTTTCTTGCCTCCCACGAATTACCTGTGATGACAATTTTCAGCTGGTACTGTATATACTAATACAACCATCTTACATATTAACGCAACCATTTTAGTAGAAGTCGCCAAATTTTCAGAATGTGTCAACTCTGGCAATCATGCGAGTAACCAATCTTCCATCCTTCATAATATTCATTTCAGTCAAACAACATCGCCATTTTCATATACATTTTTTCCAAGCGCAAACAATTTTTATAAACTGTCATAGTTTTTGCCCTTAAACTTAATTTTAAAATAGGTGCTTGTGGAATTTGCCAGCAGTGAAAAGAACTGCGGTAAAATTTTTTCTGGATACAGAATTTTGCTGAAAATTTTCCAAAGGGAACAAGGCAATGCTTTCTTTAATAATTAAAATTTGTATTTTAAATTGCTAAATCATTTTTTTAACATATGTTGTCAATGCTTACGGACTTAACGATAAATATCAATAGTTTGGAAACCTTTCTAAAAAAATGGCGCGAAAACCATGAACTTGTACCCGCCAAGTTGCTATTACCTTCTCATCTGTAAAAAATCGCCAAATGGCAACTGGTTGATTATTTATCAGAAATGGCAATACGAAGTAATCACTTCAAATCTAAAATTTTGCCTTTTAGATAAACGTTCCCTTACTACACGAATCCAAATTACAAACAAAAAACAACGGGGCACTAATAACATAAAATCCGTGAAACTCTGTAGCCTTATAAAACGTATAGATTGAATTAGAAGTTTTGAATATTCAAACATTTGAAGTGATAAAAAATATAAATCTAATATTTGTGTTACATTTAGATATATTTTCATTCATCTTCATTTCTTATTGAATTTGACTGATGAGCCCAAATTAATATAATTTCTGCAGATAATCGCATTCTCGATACCGGAGTGCTGTTACTGCCCATATTCTGAAAATAAATTAAAGTAGGCTCTTTTCTTAAGAAATTTTGTTAAAATTTTGTTATCAAATATGTTGTTTTATTTTTGGAACGGCGTCTAAACTTGGCGATATTTTTTGCTTGTCACTTTGGTCGCGATAAAATCGATAAATACCTAAAATAATACACATCAAAATCTCAAAACCGAAAGAATAAATCTAAAACAAAATCAGTAATTTTTAAGCCAAAAGTAATTACTATTTATCAAAACTGCTGAAAAATCTTTTGTCAAAAAGTTCGTATTATTTTACCCAATATTGTTCTGCATAAATATTTTCTCTGATACAAACAATTACTGTTTTTAACTGAAAAATATCTCTAATAAAACACCAAACATGCAAAAACGTGTCAGAAAGATGTGTAATAAATAATAGCAAACATTTTTGCATCTAAAATTAATATTTAGGTGCTAAATTGTGGTAGAGAAAATTTCAAAATGATTATTTGCATCTTAAGCAGATGGAGCAGGAAAGAAAATCACGCTACTAGAGAATTACGCATTAAAAATGGAAAAAGTCAACATTAGCAAAGAAAAAATGCTTCCAAGTTTTGGAAAATATTGAAAGTATCTTTTCTCCGGGGATTATGGAAAAAAATATTTTCAAAAACAGAAATGACAACAAATTGCTGTTTGCGCAAATGGAATAGCTTCGTTGCAAAATGTATTCAATATTTGTAACATGTTGAAAAATAGCAACTGACTGAAATGGAACGCTCATAAAACTGCTAAAATACATTGCCTACCTTTCTGTCAGTATTTTACATTGTTTCTCATAAAATGTTTTGAAAATTTATAAGGTATTTCTCCCGCCTTCTTAGCAAGCCCTCGTAGTGTAGTGGTCAGCACACTGGGCGCGTATTCCAGAGGTCCGTAGTTCGATTTCTGGCAAAGGCGTTGCTCATTTTTCATCTTTCATTCTTCAAAAATAATCCTAATGTCTCTACAGTGGCGCCCGAACTAAAAGGGGGGTGGGTGATGATTCTGCATACCCAGGATTTGGCGATTGGTTTTCCTAAAACCCCAGCCACCCTTTAAAAGGGGGATTATATAAAGTATTTCTCCCGCTTTCTTAGACGGCCTTCGTAGTATAGTGGTCAGCACTCCAAGTGCGTATAGCAGAGGTCCATGGTTCGATTCCCGGCGCAGGCGTTGCTCATTTTTCATGACTCCTGCTTCCAAAAAATACCTAATGTCTCGACAAATTTAGAGTTTATCATAAATTAAGAAACATAATAAAATACTTAAAATATTATTTAAATGTAATTCACTAAATATACAGAGGACTATGTTTAAAAGAATGGATCTGAAGCTAAGCGAAGAGAAAATAATTAAAAAGCGTCTTACTTGATTGATGGCGAAATTAAGAACCCATAGTGAGTTCAAATTCTTTAATTTTAAAATTTTATAACAAAATCAGAAAATTTCTTAAATACATATTAAAGATTTTCATCGTAATAAATTGTACATATGAGAGAAGCAAACGTTTCTATTGTTAAAACAAGATTCATTGATCTATTGACTGGGGCAATGCACACGTGGGCTACCTCCCTAATACGAAATATTTAATCCTAATTAGAAACGGCATAACTGAATATAGGAAGCAATATCATTTAATTAATTAAAATATTTATATACAAAACTAAGTAAAATGTTTATTCTGCGTTCATATACTTTGTATTATTAATGCAAATTAGAATATTTTATGGGATGAGAAGCACAAGAAAATGTCTGATTTATGAAATTAGCTATAAGGTACTCTTATGCGAGATTAATTTCTGGAATTAAAAAAAAAATCATCAGCATAATGTACTCCAAATGCATAACGGATCAGTAATAGCTGATAAATATCATGCATCGATTTCAGAGGGGACCTTTGATATAACTATAACCCGTGAAACTATACTTTAATAACAAGTATGAATGATTTTTATCAAGAAAGAAAAATTTCAAATGTCCTGAATTACATATTTAATCAGACTGTAATTATATATATACACATTACATTGTGCCCCTCCCGAAACGGCCTAAACTCTGCTTCACAGCCTCGTTTTAAACACAATAAAAAACAAAAAACGCTCAAAGACCATACAACTCATAGTTTTCAAGACATGGACCTTATAAGAGATAGACTAACCCAGTGGGCGGGGCGCGCGTCACCGACATGTCGGCAAGAAAGAGGAGGGACGATCTGGTTTACTTTAACACTGAAACCTATGGCGTTTGTATCACATAACTCCTTTTAATTATTAAATGTGATACGTTGTATAGTGATGAGATTATGAAAGCCACAGTTTTTTCCAAATAGGATTTAATATATCT